ATCCGAAGGGAGATAGCGCTCATCAACACCACACTCAGGGAGTGACACCGCCAACACCCCCTGTTCGCTCGATTGAAAGTAAACTAGCAATGGCGGCTCTCTGCAACACTGAGGCAGCAAACCCCGCCAACTTTCATGCCATCTTAGAGACATCCATGAGGGGCTCAGTGGAGGAAACTCCCCCACAATCTCATCCACCTCACCGCAGGTCTTCCACTCATCAATCAGGTTATATTTACCACTCAAAAGGGGAGGCAGCCCTTTTGGAGCCCACTTCCGAGGCATATTATCATCAGCGGGTAACCCCTTCTGGTCAGGCTACAATAGGGTACCATTACCGGCCAGAGAGTGTTCCACCTCACGTTTCTTATGTGTCGAAATCGGAGCCACAGATTTCTTATAGAGGCCACGGTGATGGGCGATACAATACGATTGGACCCAGGTCCTACCACCAGTCCATCAAATCTCGTGGCCCACCGAGAGGCGAGTACGTTTCTCCAAGTTCACTGCACCACTCCCATGGCTACAGCCAGGTAGATGGACCTACCGTGTACCCAACAATCCGCAGGGTCCACTCCCTACATGCGCCCCCCACGGCTATCCGCTCAGTGCCAGTCACCAGAACTGAGGTTCCACCAGATGATGAGTTATTTTACTATCAGCGCCCAGTCTACCATTGCAAGTCTCACCAACCGCCCTCTCAAGCTGACTATCATGTCACACAACTGCAGCCTTACTTTGAGAATGGAAGAGTTCAGTACCGCTACAGCCCCTACTCTGGTTCTCATGTTCTGGATGCCCCATTCTACGATGTGGACCATTATGGTACGATCCGTTTACGGCATGTCCATTCCTTCAGTGGTCGGGACAGTGCCCCTCTCCTTCGATCTGGAGCCAAATCTGGAGGCTACCACTACCTTTCACGCCATTTCATTCCTTTAAAGGAGCATAGCTTCGTAAGCAGGGACATGCCACCTTACAGTGGTTCAAAGGGAAATATTTACTTTGCGTGGGACCCAGAGGAAGCAGAGAGGCTTCGCATACACTCTATTCGCAGGGAAAGCAGAGCGAGGCAAAAGGTGAAGGGTTCTATTATGTCTCAGTATGACAATGTGGGGCCCTACATGCCAGTAGATGTAGACATGTTACATTTGCGCAGCAAATCAGATCCTGGCAAAGCCGTATTGATGACCACCGAAAGTAAGGAGGCGAGATACAATATTGTTCCTGGACCGCAGCATGCTCCCAGGCACTTGATCTCCGATCCAGATGTCCTGTTGTATATGGAAACCGAGAAGCACTGCCAAGGAAATGGAATGGGGGACAAAACCGCCAAGCAAGGCAGCTCCAGGAGCTACTCGTCCATCCATTCACATCAATCGCAACTTCCACCACGAAGTTTGCAGCACTTACCAGAGGGTGGCCATCTTGACCCCAAGTTTGAGACAGGGGAAAAGCAAGTGAGCAGTAAACATTGGCAGGAACACTCAGAGAGCAGGAGTGCCCAGCCTCGTTACGAAAGGTCCGATTTGGATCGCCACATATGCAGGGTTAAAGCCACAAGCAGTGCCAGTGAAGATGAACAAGCGGCTCCTGTGAAGCCAGCTCCTCCACCCAAGCCTGAGAGATCCCACAGTGTTAGAGAGCGGCAGCATTACAACCTGTCTAGTCTTCCCGCACATTTACCGGACAATTCAGATGGAGACCACAGTGGTTCCTACGCCCATCAGTCACAGGGGCAAAGACAAGGCACTGTTACTTCACAGTCACACTACGACAACCTGGATGACTACCATCCGGTACCTCCGTCCCAAACCTCGCTAGCTAATCGGAGCGGTTCTAGCTCCTATCATAGCCCTGGTTTCTCAACTCCACACAGTAACCGTGCATACTCCACAGCCTTAGGACAGGGCGCCTTCATACAAGCTGAGCTTTCAGTGCCGAGGCCAGAGACGGAGATTAATGCCGAGTGAACCGGCATTTAATGACAAATAGGATAGATTTGGAACATTATTCTAGGTGTCAATAATTATAATAATTCGGCAGCCTCTGCAGGACAGCGGACTGCCGCCTGACTGTTTACATTCAGTTTCGTTTTTTTTAAATGTACAAAGAAATGTTAAAGACTTTTTACTGAACTAAATGTACCATATTTTCGGTTGTTTAAACATGGAGATATAACTTGTTATATACTGTAGATACTCTGCGATATTGACAAATGGTACATAAATCATAACCAGATGATGTATATCTGAAATGATGATGTATATCTGAAAAGTACTACTGGATATAAGGGATTCTTTAGTTCTGTTTTATTTCTTTGAAAAGGTCTGGGATGGGGTATAAATGAAGTGTAAAGGTTTGCATTTTAGAAATGCATGTAATCTATCTTTTACAGAACAGTTCTGTGTACCTTATTGTGTACTTTCTGGATGTTACAGCAACAGTGGAAAGAACCCCTGTTTAAGTCACCCTACCTTAATTTTTCACTCAGTTTACACAACTAGGTGGTACTAGTGAAACTTTTAATTTTCTGCCTTCAGGTTGGAGGCCTAAAATGTGCATTTTTCATTTTGTCCAAACTGTGCCATTGCTATTACGTATGATAGGGTTTAATCACAAGCAACTGGAATTCTTTCTTCATTTGAAAACTTGTCTGAACTATGCTTGGATAAGGTTGCTCTTTGTTTGTTTGAGGGACCAAACAATGAATGTGGATTTGATTGCATTAATATCCATGAAGGTGTTGGAGAATGACTGAAAGTGAGAATGCCTGTGTGAAGTGACTCTGACGCATTTCTCTCCCCTTTCAGAGAAATCGATGATTGAAAGGGAGCTTTTGATACATTAAGTGATTAAAATATGTATCTGACTAATTTAAGACCAGTGCCATACTTACAATTTTTGTAACAAACTGTATTACTAAATTTCACATAGATCCATAACTTTTCTTCTGTAAGGGGAACCACTTCATTCTGCTTAACGTTGTGCTTTTTACAACACGCATTGCTCTCAGAATGATTCTGTCAGATGGAGATAAACCTATATTTTATTATGATCAGTGGACCCAGTTTTGTCCATTGCATGTTACCGTTCTATCAGACAGTAATAATTATTATTGCATAGCGATAATTGTAAAATTCATGTTTGATTATTCAAGTGAGCCCAAACTCGCAATGGCATTATTTGTATGTTTGTGGTTGATTCCCTGATAACATGTTTTTTTGTGTTTTGCCAAGTCTTATGAAGTTCATTCTCATTTTGCCAGCATTTTTATGATTGACAGGTAATATGCTGTTTTCTCGTTTTTTGTTTGTTTTAGACTGTGAAAAAAAAATGGTTGGGTGGCTATTGTGCAAAAATAAAATAAAGGCATTCATATGTAACCTCTATTTTATGGGACCAAACTGAAATTTTAATGCAGCATCTTCAAGCCTGCATTCTCCTCATGAGGACTTGGCCCTAAATATTAGCATTAATGCCTCATGGCCTAATTTAATCAAGATTTAATTTCCCTGCAGTCTGATTTCTTTTGGCCTCGATGACATTTAGTCTTTAAACGCACATTTTTGGGGTATAATATTTTCTTTTCAAGTGTAGTTTACAAATAAATAAACTTTACTATTTTTCTCTGTAAGAAATACTTCATACAACATAAATCTGTAATATAATACAGCTACAGACTTGATTTAATTTGGCTGCAAAGTGGATTGTTGTATAAAAAAATCTCTATCAAGATTGCATTTGATATGTTAATCTCAAGCCATTGTTCTGTAAGTCTATACCTATTTGGTCATATTCCCCCAAACCTATACCTACCTAGCTGAACACATGTTTCTGTAATACCAAGAAAGTATTATCATACATGTTGGCAATGACTGAAACATAATATGCTTGCAGTTAGCCATGGTTCAAATTTATTTGTGATAACACTTGGAGAATTTCAGTGTCACCTTTGAACCCAAATAAAATTAAGCTTAGCCTGAGAAGGAATGATTTATTGATTCCATTCTTTATTGCTTATACTTTTAATTCAATTCTTAGCTATTTCATGCTTGCTTACATTATATTTCTAGTGACTTGAGTTTCATATTATGTGTTTGTAATACAATTGCAGTATAAGCGACCCTGCAATCAGTCTAATGTACACCAACATTCAAAAATTTGAGGTCGGTATGATGTTTCAATGTTTGCACGCCACCATTTTCAACTAAAAACAGGATAAAAATATTGTCATGCATTTAGGCCATTTATTTAAAATGCAAGCTTTTTAAATTGTGTTTCAAAGAGCAAGTTTTTGAAACCGATACCGTTATCGTCGGTGTAAACTACAAAAACGCGAATTTGTAAACTGTGATGTCATATGCATACATATTACGTGTTCAGTCTATAGGCATGTAATATTTCTTTGCAAAGTGACAATGCCTGGCCTGGCATAAATGAATACATAAATACTGGCCTGGCATAAATAATACAGTGTTTATAGTAGTTTTTTACGGATCCATCTTAACTGGGATCGTTTTGACAACATTGTTGTCTGTACATGAAAAAAAAAAAAACATGTTTGTCGTAAATGTACCCTGAAAGTCTCATGCTCAACTAGGCTGCATTTATCTGATAAAATCCAATAAAAACAGTAATATTGTGAAATATTGCAATTTAATTACTTTTTATAGTTTAATATATAATTTCATAAATAATAAAATCATGTGATGACAAAGCTTAATCTTTAGAAGCCATCACTTGATCTTTTAGAAATCATGATAAACCATGATCAAAAAAAAAAAAAAAATCTAGATTCTTGGATGAATAGAAAATTCAAAGACCAGTGTTTATTTGAAAAAAATAATATTTTCTTACATAAATTTGTGGCTACAACCTTGTAGGTGGCTACAATAATCTGAAACCTTGAACATTTTGTAAATTGTAAATTGAGGAAAAAGCCAAATGTCTGTCAGTTTAAACAACTAGCACACAACTAAAATGGATTGATACTGCACTCCAGTTTTAAACATTTTATTTAGTTATTTTGATATCAAAACAATGAAAACCGTGTAATGAAAATCACATTGGCACAGTTATTTAATGTCATATTTTCAGAAATTATTATTTTTTTCTATTATAAATAAATTCTGGATCGGATCACCCACATAAGGATCAGTTTGAGAGGACAGAGCCGTCCCGCTAACTGCCAATGTTTGGGGTGTTTTCATGCAAACTTTGCAAGGCGAGATCTGACCACTTCATCTCTTGTTCTTTGACTGACTCGGTTGATCCGCCGTTGTCTTGTTCTGCTTCTGGAAGTTCACTCTTTCAGAAAAAGAGAAGAGTTAAATCATAATACGAAAGGCTTAGAGGCAATTTATGGTAAATATAATACAAATGATATAAAGGGTACGTGTGAAATATGTGACTGATTTGACTATTTGTTGTGCAAAAGGGGGTGGGGCGTAAAAATAATAATTTGATGTGCACATTCCATTGCTGACTGCATTACAATACGCGCCAATCATTGTCATGCTAAATTTTGATGTATGTAATTCGGAAGGCATATATCAAAACTGTAAATATTAATACTCACCAGTGGGATCGTCACATCCTCATATGGCAGTCTGTCTTCTCTCCAGGCATCATCTGTGAGATCAAGAACTCGTCCATCTCTCTGTACTTCACTGTCCATGATCCGACTTGACACAATCAAAAGATCAAACTACGTTAAATCACAAATCCGTGCAGTCAGGGAATGTCTGGTAACGTTACAGTCTTGTGCCCAGCGGCGCGCAGCTGTTTGTTGCGTCGCTCTTTGATGACGACATATAACTCCTATTTTTATTTGAGCATACAGCAGTCGATGATTCACCTAGATAAATAAAACCGAGCATACAACATGTAGTTTATGATGCACCTAGATTAATAAATCCGAATAATCATAGTGTTTCTTTCATTTACTCTGACGCATTTGTTACGTCATATACATGTTGCGATGTACGATTTGTGAACAGATCTTTTCAATGGATCTGTTGAGCCGGTTCATTCATAAATCTGCCTTGGACCTGCCGTCTGATTGAATTTTCCACGAATTGTTACGAACAAGACGCACTAGACTGAAACACACAATACATTTTCAGAAAAAAGATGTAAATGAATTTAAGTGCTATTAATTGTAAATATAAATTATGTTTAAATTAAAAATCTATATATTTTTATTTTATGAGCTGACTCATTGCAACAATAAAATGAACTAGGGCAGATCAAATTACGAGAAATATCTTAATACAACTTAATTGAGATGACGACGCATTTATGTGAAGACGTCAAAGAATCATTTAACCTGTTTCAATCGATTCTTTTTTATCGAGTTTTTCCAAAGAACCGATTCGTGGAAAGGAGTTGGACTTCCTGTCACTAACGCCATGACCAGATTTCGCATCGACCAATGAGATGTCAAGAAATGGGCTGGCGCTGTGAGGAAGTGAGACGCTATTGGCTGCGTCCGTTTGTGTTTCTTCAGTGAAAGCCTTTTTTTTAATAGTCTATGGTGGAAGCAGAAGGACTACATCTGTCAAGGCTTTAACCTAACCTAAGTTAGTTACTTTCTTCGCTGCCGTGTCTTAAAAAACACCGTTCAGGTGAGCTGATTGTTTCTAACATTCTGTATAATTATATATATATATGAAGAGTTCAGATGCAAAAGCCTCTAAATGCCATTTGAAATGTTCTTCTTTAATGATGATTTTTTATCAAACTTGTATATTTAAGTTCAGTAATTTCACTTACATAACAATTAATAAGTAATTATCATTGCCATTTAAGTGAAATCACTGAACTTAAATATACAAGTTTGATAAAAAAAAAATCATCATTAAAGCAGAAAATTTCAAATGGCATTTAGAGGCTTTTGCATCTGAACTCTTCATATATATATACTATATATATATATTACTATACAGCAGTGATGCTCAAATGATTTAATTTGAATCTGCCTTCTTTAGTCACATTATAGACAGTTAATAACACTTCTTCTGGCCATCTTGTAAGGTCAAAGATGGACCTAGTGTTGAACGTTGCAGATGATTACTTCTTCACTCCATATGTGTATTCCTCATCATGGCCCGAGGACGAGCCTCTGCGACAGATCATCGGCTTGATGGTGGTCACCAACCTGGGTGCTGCAATCTTATATCTAGGCCTGGGTACTTTGTGCTACTTCTTCGTTTTCGACCACAAATTAATGCAACACCCTCAATTTTTGGAGGTTTGTTTATGCATCTACCAACCTAGTGTCTTTTCTCATGTTTTGCATCAGAGGCAAAAATAAATATGTTTTTTTGTTTTGTTTTGTCAACAGAACCAGGTGCAACGTGAAATAAAGTATGCTTTGTGGTCTTTGCCCTATATAAGCATACCCACAGTAGCATTGTTTTTTGCTGAGGTCAGAGGATACAGCAAACTGTACGACAGAGTCGATGAATCCCCTTTCGGTAAGAAAACAGAGCTGTGGTCATAAATGTCAATCAAAGTTTGAGCTAAACAAGTGCTACATGGACAACGCTTTGCTTTTTCAAGTGGGTTATAGTTATTCATATATATATATATATATATATATATATAAAGCGGGTTATGTTTGAAACTGCCTTTCAAACTTAAAACAAAACTACACTGGACACATTAAAAATGACTAAATCTGAATGCAGCGAACTGACAGCCCTAATTTTAGTAAGTGCCAGTGATGAAGTCTGTCAGATATGCTTGAGATAAACATGTTGCAATGGGCATTAACTATTTCATACTATTTATTCTTGTTTTTTTTGTTGTTGTTTTTTCAGGTTGGTCAGGGATTATTTTCAGCATGGTCTCTTTCCTGTTTTTTACGGACATGTGCATTTACTGGATCCACAGATTCCTTCACCACAAGTTAATATATAAGGTATTTAAGATATATGATAATGCAAGGAGTAATTATATTTTGATTTAACAGTGGGTAAAAAATTTGAGGAAATAAAGAGTAATATTACAAAAAAACAGGATTATATTAAGGACAAAGGAAAAACATTATATACACTCACCTAAAGGATTATTAGGAACACCATACTAATACTGTGTTTGACCCTCTGTCACCTTCAGAACTGCCTTAATTCTATGTGGCATTGATTCAACAAGGTGCTAAAAGCATTGTTTAGAAATGTTGGCCCATATTGATAGGACAGCATCTTGCGGTTGATGGAGATTTGTGGGATGCACATCCAGGGCACGAAGCTCCCGTTCCACCACAACCCAAAGATGCTCTATTGGTTTGAAATCTGGTGACTGTGGGGGCCATTTTAGTACAGTGAACTCATTGTCATGTTCAAAAAAACCAATTTAAAAACATTCAAGCTTTGTGACATGGTGCATTATCCTGCTGGAAGTAGCCATCAGAGGATGGGTACATGGTGGCCATAAAGGGATGGACATGGTCAGAAACAACGCTCAGGTAGACCGTGGCATTTAAACAATGCCTAATTGGCACTAAGGGGCCTAAAGTGTGCCAAGAAAACATCCCCAACTCCATTACACCACCACCACCAGCCTGCACGGTGGTAACAAGGGATGATGGATCCATGTTCTCATTCTGTTTACGCCAAATTCTGACTCTACCATCTGAATGTCTCAAAAGAAATCGAGACTCATCAGAGCAGGCAACGTTTTCCAGTCTTCAGCTGTCCAATTTTGATGAGCTCTTGCAAATTGCAGCCTCTTTTCCCTATTTGTAGTGGAGATGAGTGGTACCCGGTGGGTTCTTCTGCTGTTGTAGCCCATCCGGCTCAAGATTGTGCGTGTTGTGGCTTCACAAATGCTTTGCTGCATACCTCGGTTGTAACAAGTGGTTATTTCAGTCAAAGTTGCTCTTCTATCTTGAACCAGTCGGCCCATTCTCCTCTGACCTCTAGCATCAACAAGGCATTTTCACCCACAGGACTGCCGCATACTGGATGTTTTTCCCTTTTCACACCATTCTTTGTAAACCCTAGAAATGGTTGTGCGTGAAAATCCCAGTAACTGAGCAGATCGTGAAATACTCAGACCAGTCCGTCTGACACCAACAACCATGCCACGCTCGAAATTACTTCGATCACCTTTCTTTCCCATTCTGACATCAGTTTGGAGTTCAGGAGATTGTCTTGACCAGGACCACACCCCTAAATGCATTGAAGCAACTGCCATGTGATTGGTTGATTAGATAATTGCATTAATGAGAAATTGAACAGGTGTTCCTAATAATCATTTAGGTGAGTGTATAACATATAACCAATTAAAACAATATTCCCAAGAAAAACAGTAATTATGATAATGATTATGATAATTATGAGAAAATAAACAATAAGAAAAAAATCTATTTGTATTTTAGAATAGTGTTATTTAGTATTAATACTATTTTTTTTATCATTTTAGTTTGAGCAATTGTATGTGCTCTTGTCATTTTTACAAATGTTTGCTTTTTAAATTTCTGTATAAAATTAGTTTATACTCATTTTTAATACGTCAACTGATTTATTTCAGTTAGCTGCAAACGTTCTTAAAAAAAGGTTTTTTTTTTTTTTTAATCTTATATTTATATTTTATTGTGAATGTAACCACCATATTAACATCCATATTATGGGTACATAGTAAAAATGACCCATTTTTGATTAATGGTCACACTATGACACCTTTTGTTTCTGATTTTTAATATGCTTTCTGCTACCAATACAAGTGTTCTCCATATAACACATATTTAAAACCATTCTAAATAAATGTGTAGATTTCCCCCTACAGAAAATATGAAAAGGTGTATATTTCATGTCTTTTATATATGCGATATAATAATGTTTTTTTCATTCTTTTCCCTTCATATACAGTACTTTCACAAACCACATCATGTGTGGAAGATCCCCTCTCCATTTGCCAGCCACGCTTTCCACCCCGTGGATGGATTTCTTCAGGGCCTACCGTACCACATCTACCCCTTCCTCTTCCCTCTACACAAGGTTCTGTACTTAGCCCTGTACGTGTTCGTCAACATATGGACCATCTCCATCCATGACGGGGACTACCGCGTACCCAGCCTGATGGAACAAATCATCAATGGTTCAGCTCACCACACTGACCACCACCTCTTCTTTGACTACAACTACGGGCAGTACTTCACCCTGTGGGACCGCATCGGAGGCTCCTACCGCTATCCTTCAGCCTTGATGGGGAAGGGGCCGCACGACCACATCAAGAAATTAATGGCAGAAGGGAAGCTGAGCTCAGACAGCATAAACGGCCACACTAATAATAATAAAAATGGCCTTCATGTCAAGAAAGAGTAGGTAGGCATATAAAAGATGCATGAATGGGTTTCAAGGTAAGATTTCTGCTCTTAATAAGTCCTTATTCATGAGACTCTGAAACTCTACTTGGCACTAAAATTATGCATATAATTGCCTAAAGGAAGCATAGACAAAAGGAATATATTTTTGCCAAATAGAAACATTCACTATGGTTACCCTGTTGGTATTTTAATCTTCTTGCCATTGTGTAACCTAATACGAATGACTTGAATTAATAGGCTTCTGACAAGTAAGCGTCTATAATTTTGCAATCATAAACATTCAAAGAATGTATGAAGATTGACTGGACTATCCCTTCACATAAACCTATTCACCTTTCTATTAGCAGTATGCCATTGTTAAAGTTAACAAGACTCTTAAGTTTCTCCATAGCTCCGTTTATTTATGAACTCAGAGACCAGGTGAAGGTACTGATCTAGCCATTTTATTTTAAAAGAGATTCTGTGGTTTACTTTTTATAAATGCACATTCCTTCCAAATAAAAAAAAAAATAGCTGTGTAGCTGTGTGTTGTAATATTGTGCACATAAATCTGAGGTCAGGTAATGTAATTAAGCCCAATCACGAATGGATAAGAAAGCTATATTGCTCATGTTACATAATTGTTGATAGTGAACTTTTTACCTTTGAAATCACTGGCATTTTAATGTCCATCGTAGCATAGCAACAGTTCGTGTGGCGCATCAGGGCACACACAAGAGGGTGCTGTTGAATCACACATTATTCTGGTGTTTGTGATTAAAGTACCTAAAGGTGCAGAAATAAAGGTGAAGAAATAGTTTTATTGACAAACCAAAGCGGTGACAAAGACAATATTGCAAGAATACAACTGTTTCCATCACATTTCCATCACAAAAGAACAGTTTCTTGTTAACTTCATAAACGTAAAACAAACAAACTCAAATTAAACATATTTGTTCATCATTATAATGAGGAGAGAAACCGCTAGGCAACGCATTGTTAAGCAAATTTAATTCATGCTCCTGTTAAAAACATGCTGGCAAGCTAATTAGTGGCTATGGCAACCATTTTTCTCATTTTTATGACTAATGCTAAAGGTGACTAAAGGTTCACATTTGAACTAAAACGTAAAGGCCGTTGAATCACTTGTTGAAAATGCTCAAAACTTTGATTAAGGTGTGTTGGAGGGGGAAAAGCACCTTTGTGTGAGGTGTTAAACTACAGCCCAGACCATTTTTGATGCACATGAGCATTTGAGTCATATTTCCGAGGAGAGAAATAAGGATAAAAGTTGAAGTTGCCATCTTTATGATGGATTGAAGTGGGTGGGCTAGTGGGGTTCCTTCAGGTTTCATGCTGTGAATATCAGAAGGCATTATGCTTTTAATGAATTTCCTTAATATAAAGTGAAGCACTAACGTGTAATTATATCTGTTATGTTTGGCTAATATATATAGCAATTCTTTTCTCGGCTTAAGTTTGCCACCCTGCTCTCGCGTATGCGAACTGTTGCATGTGTGGTTTAGGCCGTGAGAGAGTTTATGAACCAAATAACTGAACCTGAAAATGGTCTTTTATTTCATGCTGGGTGAAATGGCTTTATTATACGGTGGATGTGCATGCAGGCGTGGGATGCTGGATGACTCATTTGTATCCTGGTAGCTAACTGAGGTACAGGAACACATAATTTCAAAGTTCACACTGTGGGTACCACCAGGAGCACTATTGCTTTGTGCACAAACAATGCCACATTTTCTTACCCATTGTTGTGATCGCGCGGAACTCAAAGAGGAAATTAATCAATACATTCCTGTCCACCTGGAATAATCTGCACCCCTTATTTGAATCGGTATCATTGCTTTGCTGTACTGCAGCTGTGGCCACTATCTTTCAATTACAGCACAGACCAATGCTCATTCTGTTGGGCTTCTAATGATAACTCCAGGCTGTTTACAAATGTCCCTTCCACAGAATGTATTTCCACACAAATTAATAAAAGAAGTAAAACCTTTAGGAAATCTTTTCATTTAGTTTGTATGAAATCCTATTTTAGATGTAGTACTGTGGTTGATGCTGATTGGGGCTGCAACGATTAGTCGACGTTGTCAACAATAAAAAATCGTCGACGAATACCTTGTTGTCGAGTAGTCGTTCGATCTCATTTGAACTAATGTAATGGCGTGCAATATCGCGAGTTGTCGAGTGGTCGACTAATATCTTTGTTGTCGACAAATATCAAAGACAAACATCTTTGTTGTCGAGTAGTCGTTTGATCTCACGTGACCTAGTCCTAATGTAATGGCATGCAATATCGCGAGTTGACCGCTATGGCGTTGTGGCGCTAGAGTGTAATGCAGCCCTTACAAATACGGTAAAAGAAAAAGAAAAACAGCGCGAATTATGACGGACAGCAAACGAAAACGAACTAGCAAAGTTTGGGAAAGTTTCACAAAACTTAAAACCAACTATGCTGTCTTGTGCAATAAATGCAAAGCGCAACTTGCTTTTCACGGGAGCACACCATGCATGTTGGAGCACTCAAAGAGGAAACATCCCAGCAAAAGAGGAGCCGGTGAGAATTGAGTGTTCTCCAGCTGGAGCAACTAACTGGTAACGTAAATCCATTTATTAGATAATACAATACTACTAATAGTAATAATATAATTACAGTAATGTGATGATTTATTTTGCATATAATAAAGCTTGATCGAGCTCAGGAGTTGGGGCTGTTTTTATTATTGTAACACTATTTATGTATTTATTATAGGCATTATAGTCTTGCCTTTATTTTGTTCCATAATCATGAAGATTTACAAAAGGAGATGTTAGGAAGAATATGGCAGTTAGCCTACTTATTTTTTTTATTCTGTAAATTAAAAGGCGGTTGAGAACGTCTATGTCAGCTCAATTGTCATGTAAAAAAAAGATTGTAATAATTGTATATTCATAATAATGGTTTACTAATTAATATTTAACCATTTTTTTTGTCCTGAAGTAAATGAACATTTTTCTGTTTCAGTCCTAAGAAAAGCAGTGGGTCTATTAAACAATGCTTAGAGAGCATTTGTGTGTGATTTGAGTTGGACCGAGCCCTAACTTTCTGTCAGTGAGAAAAGAGTGTGGACGCCACAGATGCAGCTTCTGTCTCTCTAAATTTCAAGTTCAAAATATGCGAGTGTTGGAAATTATGATTATGTAACAATTAAGTGTACAGTGGCTTCATAAATTGATTAAAAACATAAAATTGCAACAAAAAAAGTGATGTACATTGATTCTTTAATCAATGTTTTTTTTAAAAAAAACTTGATTTATTTTATTTATTTGAAAATCATCATCATTTTGCTCTGCCAGTGATTTAAACATGTCCAGGAAGACTTAAACACATGCTTATGGGGTGTAACGATACCCTGTTGTCACAATTCAATATCACGATACTGAACTCACGATACGATATTATTGTGATACTCTATTGTGATACATATAATAAAAAGGTTAACAAAAATGTACTGTTGATTAAAATGCTAACCTTGAAATTACATTGTGGGTTTAAATGAATAGGTTTGGACTTGCTGCTTGTAACCCAAGGACAATGGTGACACTCTGAATTCTGAAGCTGAAATACAGAATTATTTTTTGACGAACGAATATGCTTGCACTCTAGATATATTTAAAATAAGGTCGGCCACTTTTTACTGGTACCATCAGTCATGATTTGGCATTAACAGGACCCACAAATATTCCCCCAATGCATTATTATAAAAATAATCAAAATTATATGTAGTAGTTTAATGTAGTACTGGCACTAAAACTCTGACACAGTAATTTTTATTTGGGGGGAACTATCCACGATACATATTGTCACTTTCCACAATATATATGTTGCATTTTTGTATTGCAATATATTATGGCATGATGTATGGTTTCACCCCTAACTCTTACACATTCTTAGCAAATATCTTATTGGGTTCACCTGTGTATTTGCATAATTCTGACTTTATTGGATTATGTGAAATTGGATTATGTCCTAATTGAAATTGAAGGCTTAAGTCCTGTCTGTAAAACCGGACCTTTATCTTGTTTTTTTCTCGTCACGTGTTCGTTGTCAATCCTTTGAATCGTGGGCAAGACTGAGTTACTCTCTGCACACAATGTAACTGAATCCTCTATATGGCTCTATAATTCTAAGCTTGAGCATTGAGAAAATAATAGCATTTATTCAGTTTTTGATACCCTTGTATCCACAAGATCTTTTCTTAAATGATCAAAATAAAAAGCATTTCTATAAATAGGCTAAAAGCAATCTAGTATTAATTTAACACTTCAAAGGTGATATAACGACAATGGTGCCTTTTAAAATAATGATTACTGTTGTCACAATGTGACAAGTGCTGATGGCATTCATCCCTGAGGATTAGGATCATGTTTGTTTTATTACTGTATGTAAAAGACTGCCTTCTTCCTTGTGGATTGTATGAAAAGCTCTTTAGCTCTGCATGCTTCATCAAAAATGAAAGGCCCAAAGCAAACACCTGAGGTTGTCTATCAGTTCCACTTAGATGAAGAACAATTCCTCTTCCTCTTTAGCACCGCTTTTATAATGTGACGAAATTGGAGATGTCATTTTGAATTTATTATGAGCATCAAACTGAAACGGAATGGCCTCTTTTGGGGGTTTGTTTGTTTGTTTCCATTCACAGTTGCGTACTTTTATTTCTGATTCAGTCGTTGAGCATCTAATAATACTACTGATGAACTGCCATGCTTGTTTATTGCTAGCACAGGGCTGAACTACTGATACTGAAAGAGGGCAACATTCACTATCATGATATCCCTGAGGGTGCATGTTTCTCGTGGATTTATAATTAAAAGTGCAGATTTGCATTTTTCATAAAATGTTTCGACCATAATTAAGTTAATAGTTCAGTTAATCCCCTCCCTATAAAAATCAGTTCTACAACCCATGCTGTGTTACCCAGCAGAATGGTGTTGCCAGACTGATAATTTATAGTTATAAGGAAAGAACAGCATTTACACATACTTTTTATGAAATAGCTTATTAAATCAGTACATGTTAGTTTCTTTAATTAAACCACATGTTTAATTCTGTCTGTTGCAGTAAATAGCCTAACTATTATAATGAATTTTCATTAAGATTAAAAAAAGTAATGAAGATAAGCATGGTTGCAGCATAAAGCTGAAATACAATATTGTGCAGACACTCAAAAAATGATCTTAAATATTGAGATTTACGTATTTATAAAAATTCCATCCATTTGGAATTGGACAACAAATCTAATCTGATGTCATTTGTCAGTCATACATAAATGAGAGATTTGTGTAATAGTGCTAATAAGCTGAACATGTTTGAAATGCACAAAAACCATGTTTATTAGTATTTTTCATCAATAATTAAAATTTTAAGTGATTGAATATCGATTTTTACTGTCATTTTCACGTTGTGAAGAATAGACGGAACATTTATGTATGCTCATGACGTCACCGTTTTCACAAATTCTCGTTGTTGTTTATACAAAGATGATA